CTGATCTGACTCTGAGGATGGACCGCAGTAATGCTTCATGCTTGGGGCGATGCAGCAAACCATGTGCAGGTTGTAGCCATTAGAAAAATTCAAGAGCATGACTGCCCAAGGGCAGTCACCCAGCAAGGTCATAATATTCAGACACCCTTTCCCGGCACTGCATCTGCTCCCTATCATTAATCAGGAGTCTAAACATCACACGTTCCTTGGAAACAATCAGTGAACGATACTGGGAGCAAGCTAGGAACTGCATCAAGGGTACTAATCCATGTGTGCACATGTGCACGCCCACACATGGAAACAGAAAGAGAATCACATCCTTCAAAATAAAATAAGTCTTGGGAATTCACTGGCGGTCCAGTGGTTAGGACTCTGCCCTTTCCCTGCAAGGGGCACAGGTTTGAAGAGAAAACAGGTCTTGTTTTTGCTTACATTTTAATACTCTGCTTTTAAAAAGTATTTATAAATATCAATACCGCATAAACCATAGCGATAACAGACCGGGATATTTTCTCTACAGTTTTCCCAATATTCTAAGGAACCCTAAACCCACGATACTTCCTGTGTTCCAAGGGGTCTAAAAAGCACTAATTTTTTTCATGTAAAAAATTATTAAAAATATCAACGAATACAATCAATCCCAAAACACTATACAATATTTCAAAGCAATCATCATTACAGCTTTGCTCAGAGAGGAGAGAATAGCTAGGTAACAGCCTCTAAAACCTATCTCAAGGCACCACTCAGGTGGAAAGTGCAAGGAAAACATACGCTGGTCAGTTAAGCTGGCATCTAAATGCAGCACTAAAAATGCATTTCACGCCCAACTTCATCAATCACCAAGCAATCTTACTTTGCATCTTGGCTACCAAAAGAAAATGGGATTTGTTTCCCTGAAGAAATATGTCACTGCTCTGCCTGAATTATTAAGCTTTATTATTACAGAGAGAAACTGAGTCGGAAAAAAAGAAGAAACAAGAAAAAGAAATAAAATTAGACCCAGGTTGCCATCTACAGACTGTTATCAGCACTGCTCACTCATGAAGCATTAGATATCAGAGTATCAGTAAATAATAGCTGTAAAATAAAAGGATAAATGTATGACTACAATCGTAATGATAAAAATCAAGACAGCCTACAAAGTCTCCTTTTTTCTAATTAACGTGAGAACGCTAAAGAACACTGGTCAAAAATTTGCAGTTTAACATATGCTAGAAAGGAATCATCGATATGCATCCTAACTCTTAAAATTTAACACTTAGAAATAAAATTGAATAGATTACTTAATTCCAAGTTTAAAATATGTTTAAGCAGCAAAAACTGTTTCATCTCTATAATCAAATTCTTGCATTTTTTATGCCATATTTGTATATATTGAGAAATGATTACCACAGTAAGTCTAGTCAACATCTGTCCCCACACATGGTTACAAAACGCTTTTTCTTGTAATAACTTTTAAGCTCTACTCTCAGCAACTTTCAAATGTGCAATACAGTATTAAGTTCTTGCACTTTTGATTCACTGACTCACCATACACCTTCTCATTCATTTTGCTTCAAGTCCTTATTGCTTTTTCCTTTCTAAGGAATAAGAGCCCTCTGGAGGCATGAATGTCCAAAATCATGCACTTGGTTCTAATTACTAAAACAGATGTCATTAAAGCAAAAAGCAACTGCAATAATAAATGAATATGGAGGCTAAAGGAGTAATAAAAAAGAGAGAGAGATAAAGACAGATACTTTTGATAACATAACAGAAAATTTCTATAGCCAAAGACATCTGGAGGGAGATCTGATAAGGAGAAATAGCTCAATTTTCAAAGGTAGTGATTTAAGCTAATAAACTTATCAAGTGATGATTTAATCTCATAAACTACACAAAACCTTTTCTTCATTTTCCCTGGGAAAATTATTTTTGGAAGCCAAGATTCATTTTCCAGGTCATGTGTTCTCTCCATCAAGATACAAAATGTTTCGTCTAAACTCTTATATATGCTTCTAGATCTGTGGTATAAGCCTCTTACTGGGAAAAAAAAAAAAAATTCCCCAAACCTTCATGTGAAAGACAGCAGCTGTAATTCTATGTTAACACTGAGATACAGCAGTGAAAAACCTATCATCTGCACATTATAAAACTAGATTGCAAAATGTACACTTAACATGGACAATTGAAACAACTGCAGGATTCTCTAAACACACTGTAAGAACAGCTGAGGGCTTCTACCTTTTCTTAGCACTTTAAAAATGTGACTTGTTTCCGTGGTCAACATGTTTTTGTTACTTTGACCCCCACAGATACAGCTATTGTTGAAAACTATTTGTGAATTTCTATAAAAACAAAAACACTGATGGGGGGGTGGGATGAACTGGGAGATTGGGATTGACATACATACACTATTATGTATAAAATAGATAACCAATAAGAACCTGCTGTATAAAAAATAAAATAAAATTCAAAAAGAAATAAAGAGAAAAATAAGTAAAAAGAGTGGATATATGTATATGTATAACTGATAAACTTTGCTGTACAGCAGAAACTAATGCAACATTGTAAATCAACTATACTCTAATAAAATATTTTTTAAAAACACTGATAATTCAACATTTTAATAAAGTTTACTTTCCTGTGAAACACGGAAATGCTGATTCAGCCTCTTGTGTTCCTGAGTTTCCACGAATGAAATAACCTGAAGAGATGATGGTCCCCTTTCTTTTGAGGGACAACTACTGAATCTAAAGACTTTCAAAAAATATATTGGAAGTAGGAGTTGGTATTTTCATAAGCTAGTAAGAGCCTTGCAGAAAATTAAAAAGTAGCACTTTATAAGAGCCTTTAATCAAAAATAATTCATGAAGAGTTTAACATGAGTCCTGTTTCTTAGTGGGTTTTAAAGTATTACAGAGACTTATCTATTTTGTAACTTCCATCATTCATCCATCAATATTTATTAAGCGTCTCATCTGTCAGCCCTGTGCTAATTGTTGGGGACTGAAAACTAAAAAACCAGTAAGACATAGCTCACGGCCTTGGGAGTTTCACAATCTAGTATATACTGATTAAAATAAACCCTCTATTATTTTTTTTTAATATTTATTTATTTATTTGGCTGCACTGGGTCTTCGTTGTGGCATGCGGGACCTAGTTCCCTGACCAGGGATCGAACCCAGGTCTCCTGCATTGGGAACACTGAGTTTTAACCACTGGACCACCAGGTTAGTCCCAACCCTCTATTATTTTTAATGCTCATGACATGGCATGCTTTTCCAGGCTAGCTTTTTCCTTTGGTGCCTACCGTACAACAAGCATTCAATAAACATCCTTTGACTGCATTTTACTGGCCTCCCTGTTTCACTGGAAAGGATTGCACACACTTAAAGATAAAAGCAAAACTTTGAAGATAAATCTTAATATGAGCCCCCATGTTGAAGAATGCTAATGGGGCTAAAAGAAGTTAAGTGACTTGCCCGAAGTCAAGAGCAGAACTGGGACAAGAATCTAGGACTCTCAACTTCCAGCTAATCTCCAGCATCTAATCTCTGAAGATTTTAAAACCCCTCCACTTTCTTCTCTATGGAATTGGCTCCTTTCATTTCACCTGTTCTTTTAACTTAGTCTCACACATCTTTCTTCTGAAACCTTAATCATCTGAGCAGCGTCTTCTAAACACTCACACAAGTTCATGCTGTCTCCTCAGCTGTGAAGCCCACTTGAGCTGTAATTCTCATGTGGCACTTCATATGGACTTTGAAGTGAGCTGGAGCTCCCAGCTAGAAGCCAAGCTCTGGCCGTGGATCTGAAACTTGATCCCATTCATCCTTTTCCAGGGCAGCCTGGCATGTCTTCCAGTGGGGGTAAGTGGATCCCAGGGGAAGGGAGAAGTCGTCACTCCTCCAGCCTTGTCCCAGCCAGCACCCCCCTCCCACACAGCATCACTCCACCCTCGTGAGCTCGCCCCACTGAGACCATGCTCCGAGTGAAGCCAAAAAGAGCTTGTCTTCACAAAAAACTAACATGAAAAATTCACAATTCTGACAGCACTCATCCTTAGTTTATCATACTTTTATCTTGAAATCTTGTACTAATGCAAAATGCTTTAAATTATTTTATACCGTCTCTCGCCTGGTCATCCAAGACACATAACTAACTTGGTACATATTGTTTATTGGTAAAGTTGTGCGTGTGTTCTCTTGGGTATCAGTAAAATCGGTGAGACATCTTTTTGGAAAAAGTGATCTGTGACTAAAAGCAATTTGTAATGAATGTGAACAAGGGTTGTAGACACACAAATAAGAAAGATCAACAGCGGTTGGCAAAAATGTTAATCGAGCCCTTTTAGCTGGAACACAGGATGGTAAAAGTTACCTTTTCCAATACGACCACTCAAGACTATTTTACCTCAAAACACATGTCCTTGGGACTTCCCTGGTGGTGCAGTGGTTAAGAATCCGCCTGCCAAAGCAGGGGACACAGGTTCGATCCCTGATCCAGGAATATCTCACATGCCGCAGAGCAACTAAACTCATGCGCCACAACTACTGAGCCTGTGCTCTAAAGCCCACAAGCCACAACTACTGAGCCCATGTGCCACAACCACTGAAGCCTGCACGCCTAAAGCCCGCGCTCTACAACAAGAGAAGCCACTGCAATGAGAAGCCCACGCACCGCAAAGAAGAGTAGCCCCCGCTTGCCACAACTAGAGAAAGTCCATGCGCAGCAACAAAGACCCAAAGCAGCCAAAACAATTTTTTTTGATAAAAAATTTAAAAAGCACATGTCCTCGTAGCAGAATCTCTAATTACAAATAGAAATTAAGCATGAAAAACAGCAGCATCTCTCATACGCAGAAAGTCTTCTTTGAAAACTCTCATATAGGACAATAAGGAGTCTTTTCTGTAGGCCCAGGAAAACAAATGGATCTATTTACAAATTAAAATTGTATCACAGCCTTAAGATCATGATAATCAATAATAACAATATAATAATAACAACAACAAACTTACCACTGTTTGGAATTGTTTGCGGCGAACTCTTTAACTTTACATTCTGTTTCCTTTTCGTGGGTTTTTCTGAATTCACATCTTCTTTTTTCCCTTTCCTCTTTGGAGGCTGAGGAGATGAGTTGTCGCTGGATCCGACTGTTGACTTAGATTGGCGATCATTTCCCTACATGGCAAAAGATTAGACCCTTACTATCGGCTGATGAACTCTCTAAGCGATTACTGTTCAGTACAAGTCACTAACTAGTGGTAAAAAGGGCAGGGGCGGGAGATGGGGGTATTGTACTGATTCTGCTGCTGTCCACTACCTGCATTAACTCTTCTTGGTGACAGAGGAAGGGTCTACCAGAGGAAGGAGAATAAAAATAATAGCACTTGACAATTGTTGAGTACTTAATTGTACCAGGTGTTCTATGAAATTGTCTCACTCAGTCCTCATAACCTGAGAGACAGGTACTGTTATCACCCCATTATATAGACAAGCAAATGAGGCTTAGTGGTTAAGCCTGCCCAAGGTCAGCCAGCCAGCAAGGAGCAGAGCGGGTCCACTGTCTTAACCTTCCTCTCCCTCCTGCACCTTTCAGAAGAATCAGCAGCCAGCTATTGGATGAGGAATAATGACAAATCCGTTTGATCAGTTAATCTAGAAATACCTTCTTAACTGGTCGTCACTGTGAGTGTATCGGTATCATCATACAAGCGCTGTGCTTGTAGAAATCCTCTGATATTGACTCATCTGTTGGTGACTGCCATGGTCTCTATGAATCACAAACCCAGAGCAACACAGACACAAACAGCTCAAGACCACATGCCCTTCATTCCTGCAAGGCGGCCCCCAATGATCACACTTTTGGTGGTTGCCTCTGATTCCCGTGTGCCTCTCGAAACGAAGACCTTGCATCTGCAAAGTGAGCTTCTCAGCATGAAGGTGAGGTTGAGTTCAGTGGCTCCTGTCACTGGCCCATATACAGCTCCTGGGGAGCCATATAAGAATCACTACAGTGGTGTCTACTGTACCCAAGGAACAGCTGTGCTGATACTCAGCCACTGCTTGGCCATTGCCAGAAACACCCTCCTAACAAGACAGCCTTGGCCTTCAGACGCTCAGGTGCTACACTTACCTGAGTGTGTAAGGTGTGAGGCTGCAGGTAGTAGAAAGAATGCACGTTTTAGAGACCCAAAATACCCATGTCAGGGCCACTGCACTGCCACTAACCACCTATGGGACCTTGGGGTAACTAACTCCTACCTTCTTTGAGCCTGAATCCTTATCAATTGAATGGGGTTGATGTGCCTGCCGTTAGGTCTATCATTAGCATGAAATGGTAACGTTTATAAAGTAATGAGTACAGTTTTGTTCAAAGATTATCAGAGTGCTTCCTTCAAGAGCAGAGAGTTAATATCTTTTTCTTAAAAATCACACCAAACTCACAAAATATTGGGTGCAATCTTTATGCAACATCTGTAGTATGCTAGTATCTGAAAATAAGTGTAGCAATATTAAACAAACAAATCTGCCTAGAAACCTACTATAATTGCCCATTTTAAACATTTATATATTCAGTCATCCAGAAGCATTTAAATAGTTTTAGCTATCACCCAATTAAGAATAGAAAAATTCACAGCCTTACAAATGAAGTTATTTATGCTATTTTGTCATAGCCTACAAGAAAATGAATTATGCATAAATTTATTACCATTATGAAAACTTGTCCAAACCTATAACACTTTTTTTGCATAATTTAATTTCCTATTCCAAATGCAATTTAGACATACAGTTTCCATTTAATTATTGCATTAACTGAAACCAGAGTTGGGTTTTTTTTCTTTCCTTTTCTTTAATGATTCTTCCTCACAAGGCCATAAACTGCCAGGCAGGAAAAATGGCTAATGTGATTATAGAAGAGATTCCAAAACCATCATGTGAGAAGAAACCAATGGCCAGGTCTCACATTCTAGTCTATTTGCAAACAAGTCTATTCGTCCCAAGATTCTAAAACTTTAAAAGCCTTGAATGAGAGGAGTAACCCTTCTACCAAGCCTACTAGAATGTTCAGAGATGCTGTTGAACTTTCAAGGACTGAAATGAAACTTAAAGAATGAGAAACTCTGGATCTCAGCATAATAGTTTTTTACCGCTCTCTGGGAAAACTCTTATTCACAAAGGGGTAAAACAAGGGAGAAGCAGATGCCCCATCCTGGAGTGTCTGGGGATTCATATAATTTTAAAAATCAGGGCTTCCCTGGTGGCGCAGTGGTTGAGAGTCCGGCTGCCGATGCAGGGGACACAGGTTCGTGCCCCGGTCCGGGAAGATCCCACATGCCGCGGAGCGGCTGGGCCCGTGAGCCACGGCCGCTGAGCCTGCGCGTCCGGAGCCTGTGCTCCGCAACGGGAGAGGCCACGACAGTGAGAGGCCCGCGTACGGCAAAAAAAAAAAAAAAAAAACTCTGTTGTTGAATATACAGGAATTCGGATTTACTACCTCTATTAGGGACACTCAAAAGGGCGATTTGGGAGCATCAAGAAAGACTAGTTGATTCCAATAACTATATGAGGCATGGCTTTGGTAATTGACACTCATGCATTCAAATATTAATGACTAACTGCCAGGCACTTGGTGAGTAAGAACTAAATTAAACTGAGTAAAAAGGAAGAACTGTTTTGTAATTAGAAGACGGGAAAGAATTTAAATGCTTTTCTTTTTTAAAAAAGAAATGTCCGATAGCACAGGGAACACTACTCAATATTCTGTAATAACCTAAACGGGAAAAGAATCTGAAAAAGAATAGACATATGTATATGTATAACTGAATCACTTTGCTGTACACCTGAAACTAATACAACATTGTAAATCAACTATACTGCAATATAAAATAAAAATTAGAAAAAGAAAATATTGATTCATCTACAAAAATGAAATAGATATATAATAAACACAAAGATATAAATTATATAATATGAATTATATATACTCATTTATTTATATAGTTAATTACATAAATTATAGATAATATGTAACTAAATTATAGAGAAAGGGAAGGGCAAAGGAATGGAGAGATGGATTTTCCTTTCTTTTCTGAGACTTGTGCATGTGACTCATAACTTGGATACATGGATAGTCATTGCTATTTGTGGGGCATAGGGAATAGGGGAGTTCTGCCATCTTATAAGAGCTATGCTAGTTGATAAAACAATATTACTAAGTACCTCTTGTGTGCTAAATACTCATAACCACAAATATTTACCAAATGTATAGATAGGTATTATTATCAGTATTTTACAGATAAAGGAATTAACTTTCTCAAGGTTACCCAGGTCTGATTTTTCTGCTACACTGAACCTTCCTAATACCCAAGACACTAGAAACAGCTATTATATAGAATGGTTCCCTAAGAAAGCTACCTGGAAGTAATAGATGATGACTTTTTCCCAGAGTGGAAGAAATCAAGAAGCAGCCAAATTTTACAGCGTGTCCCATGGGAAAACTTCAACCACTGTCCTGCCTTTGCCACACACACATACCAAAATATCTGATAGGAATAGAAAACCTCTGGCCCAAACAAACAAAAAACTAAAAAGAGCCCCTTCGATCACCCCTCACTCTACTGAAACTGGGATTTTTTCAGTAATTCCCTAGGCTCTTTCCAACACGATCCAATCCACTCAGGTTTTTTCATTACCAGGTAGACTCACTTTCAGCCCCCATGAACACGTGTCAAAGACATACGGGCCATAAGGCATCAAGTTTAAAATAATTTTGTGAGGGATTTGCCGCACACAGCAGCCTTCACAGTGTGTGTATTTCAGCGATGCACCCAGGAGACTTTCTGAGCAGGGGACCAGACCCAGACTTAGGCTGGCATTTCTCTCACTGTGCATCTACTGATGGGAAGTGTGAGAAACTCTTTTATCCAAATTGGACTCCGTTTCCCAAAAGGCAAAATGGAATTTGGGAAGCATTTGGAATTGACCTGGCTTCACCGTGACTTTGATCATGCCGTTTTCTTACCAAAACCTTAGCAATTACAATATTTGAACCTGTAAATTACTGATCACAAGATACATCAGCCACATGGTAATAAGGACAACTAAAGACATTTTAACGTCGTCTTTGGCTTTCAAATACTTCCCTGATTTTACATCTCTTCCACTAGAGGGTGCTTGGATTCCGTGTGGTGAGACCTTGCAGCTAGAGAACAGCCTCCCACCGGTGGGTTAATTTTTCAAACTTAATAGGACTTCAGAGGATTCACTTATAACTTCCTTTCGTTTTCAAGGCTAGAATCACAAGGTAAAATTATTCTCAATGTGCTCATTTCTGTGACTCCCCAGTCTGAACAGGGGTAACTTCTGGCATTCCCTGGCTGTTTTGAAAGGGACTGGTGGACCCCTGGAATCCCCCAGCCCTGTTACCCACACTCCCTACCACAAGGGTGGGGCCTCGCGGACACATCACCCCTGCACAGCAGGGTCCTCTATGCAGACTATGGCAGCTTTCTCTCTCTCTCTCTTTTTTTTGAAGTTCTATCAGGCCTCCACTCACTCTCTCCTTCATGCTGCAATACAGCCATTCCTAGAAGGCGGTGTGGAGAAATGATTTCCTAAAAATCCAATTGTGTCCCCTTTGATTTGCATCACGGGTTCGGGGATGCCTTCCCTTTGATTGGACAGTAGTTCCGAAAGTCTTAAGCCTGCTCGCCCATAGTCCCATTCACTCACAGCCCCACTCAGTGCCAAGCAGTTAACGATCTTAAAAACACGTACATTCTCCAGGGAACCAATTAATTAAAGGAAAGGAGCAAACTGATCCTTCTCTTAAAAACCAAGTTTGTGCTTTTGGAACGCGTGACATAGAATATCCTCTCTGTGCGGCTCACAGCACTCACTCACACATCCACTAGATGGGTTTCCTGAGAACCTACTGTGTGCCCGGCGGATTACTCCCCTCGGCTAAATATAACCTCCTAAAGGAGGCCCACCCTGGCCACCCAAAGGATACTGCACCCTCTCTCACTTTCTCTTTCCATATCCTCATGCATTTCTCTTCACGCTTATCCCTGATTAATATCACACGTGTATTTGTTTGTCTTTTTCCTCCTCCAGAATGGAAGCTTCATACATTTACAGTTTTCTCTGGAATCTCTGCCTCCCCTTCCCCACAAGCGCTAAAACAGTGCTCGGGACATAATATGAGCTCAATAAACAGCTATTAGATGAATGGGTCAATCAGTGACAGCAGTTACAATATGCTCCAAGAAGAAATAGGATAGACGTCCATCTGCTCTGCTGCCTCCTGTCCAAGTCACCTGCATCACTCACCTGGATGCCAGCCGTCCCACTGCCTCCTGCTTCTGTTCTTGCCCCGCCCCCCTTCTCTGTAGCCAACACAGCCACAATGATCCCTTAAAACTGCAAATCAGGGCTTCCCTGGTGGCGCAGTGGTTGAGAGTCCGCCTGCCGATGCAGGGGACACAGGAGGTTCGTGCCCCGGTCTGGGAAGATCCCACGTGCCGCGGAGCGCCTGGGCCCGTGAGCCATGGCTGCTGAGCCTGCGCGTCTGGAGCCTCTGCTCCGCAGCTGGAGAGACCACAACGGTGAGAGGCCCGCGTACCGCAAAAACAAACAAACAAACAAACAAAAAAAACCCCTGCAAATCAAATGATACCACTCTCTACTTGTATCCCTCAAACGGTGTCCTGGTAAGGAATAAAATCCAAACACCATGCATGGCCTACACGATCGGGCCCTGCCCGCCCCTCCAATTTAATCGCAGACCACTCCAGCCTTCTTTCTGCCCCACTCCTTTACGCCAAGCTCTTTACCGAGGGCTCTTGTGACTGTTTCTCCTGCACCCACCTTGTATGACTGGCTCCTTTACATCATTAAGGTCCCAATCTCAGAGAATCTTATATCAATTAGTATCCTAATTAGTGCCCACATTTTATTGTCCTCATAGCACTTATCACCATCTGAAATTGTTTATATATTTGTTTATTATTTATTTATTTTATTTATTTTTGGCTGTGTCAGGTCTTAGTTGCAGCTCACAGGATCTTCATTGAGGCACGCGGGATCTTTTGTTGCGGCGTGTGGGCTCTTTGTTGCGGCCTGCAGGCTTCTCTCTAGTTGTGGCGCCCAGGCCCCAGGGCACGTGGGCTCTGTAGTTTGCGGCACACGGGCTTTAGTTGAGGCACGCGAGCTCAGTGGTTGTGGCGCGCCGGCTTGGTTGCCCCGCAGCATGCGGGATCCTAGCTCCCCGATCAGGGATCGAACCCGCATCCCCTGCATTGGAAGGCGGATTCTTTACCACTGGACCACCAGCGAAGTCCCTATATTTGTTTAGAGATTGATAGTCTGTCTACCCCATTCTTCCACCCTCCCTACTCCCACACAGATACAGGCACTAGAACAAAAGTTCCTTGAGGTCTGAAACCTTGTCTGTCTGTTCATTAATCTATGCCAGCTGCTTGGAGCAATTCCTGGCACTCAGTAAGTGCTCACTAAACACACGTTGGATGGATGGCTGGATGAGCAGATGAATGAATGGATGAATCTAGAATGCTTAGGGAGTATTGTGGAAAGAGAGGTAGGCTCTGCTATCAATGTATTTTTCTAAGTCATAGCATGGCAATATAATTTTGAGTCTTTGTTGTGTATGAGATGGAAATTCATCTCAAAATATAACTTGGAGTCTTCAAAGGCCACTTCCTCAAAGAGATCTTTTCCTGACATACGTATCTAAGTTCTCCTTTTATCTTCCTGCATATTGTTCTATACTTTTCCTTCATTTTAGTCACGCTCTGTAATTACATATTGCTTTGTGGCATCACCTACATAACCCTTTTCTCCCTGAGTAGGCCAGGGCTAAGAGAGAGCATTGTGTCTTTTTGCTCAATACCATCTCCCTGGTGCTTAGTTCCATTCCAGACACACAGAAGACTTCACCAATCATCATTAGATGACCCAGTATTCACAGCACAGATCTTCCAAACAAGCGAGCAAGAAAGAGGCATGTGTGTGCCTGTGTATGAATTTTAAAACGGGAAACACATTACACATTTTTAATAAAAACTCAGACATTCTAAATTTCAGAAGAGTAAGCACCTAATTCCCAAGTTCTGTAATTGTGAATGTAAAGAGCTGAGTCCTGATCTTGGTTCTGACATGAACTTTCCCTATGACCTAGGTCAGTTACTCAACTACACTTGGTCTCTGTTTAACCTTTCCAGCTATACTGTGAGAGTTAATGCGCTCATATGTGCATGGTACGTGGAAGAGATTCCACTCCAAAGTCCTGACGAAGAACAAGAGGACAGAATTTCCAAACCCTAAATTCCTGGTTTTTATTTAGCTTTATAGTGGCTAAAATATATTTTTCAGTTACTAGAATTCTCTCTCTCCCCTTGCTCTCCACACACATGAAGTTTTGGGTCCTCTGTGGTTCTCACTGCTCTGTCTCTCTGTCTGTCTCTGGCTGTCTGTCTGTCTCTCTCTCAGCACCCACTCCCCCATCCTCTCACTCAACAGCGTGAAGAACCCTGCTCCCTGCCAGGCTGTGCTGGGTGCGAGGAAAGAACACCACCATGACACGTCTCTGCTCCTCGACTATGACCATCATGTGGATGAACTTGCAAATCAACATCTGATGTCCTAAGCCTCTGCCATTTAGAACTACTAGCTGAACACTTTTCACCTAGATTCCATGATGACACAACTCAATGCATTGGACAGTAAGCAGGTCCCTCTTTCCTCTAGTTGCCCCCTTCTTAGCCATAGTACCATCATTTTCTCCAGCATCCAAGCTCAGAAACTTACAGTTATCTTTGGCTCCAACTGCTCCATTAATCCCCTGTATCCAATCACCTAGCAAGTCCTTTGTTTCTTCATGAGCAATAATCACCTACTGCTGCTCCCTCACCATCTGCCTGGTCTAGGCTCTTACCACTTTATGCCAAGGTTATGGAAGTTGCTTTGTAATTGACACCTCATCGATGGCCTCTCACCATGTTAAGGTTTTCTCCACATAAAAGATCTGGCCTTTCTAGACTGGACTTGGATCAACATTCTCACTTCTCTGAAGCCTTCATGAGCTTCCCTTAACTCAAGGCTAAAGACTAAACTCTACATTCTGACATTCGACGTCATCTAAAACTGCCACAGGGGCCCTACCAAGTGAGCATGTCAGCCTCCACGCCAGGAGGGGCCCTCTGCACCAGCTGGCCTGAGGGACTCATTATCCCCCTGGGGTCAGAAGCATTAGCTCCCTCCAAGCGGGCCACCTAGACTCAATCCTTCCCCTCCATTTACTCAGTGGAGCCTTTGAAGATGCTACTTCTACTACTGTGTTTCCTTTTCTCTTTTTTTTTTTTTTGCGGTACGCGGGCCTCTCACTGTTGTGGCCTCTCCCGTTGCGGAGCACAGGCTCCGGACGCGCAGGCTCAGCGGCCATGGTTCACGGGCCCAGCCGCTCCACGGCATGTGGGATCTTCCCAGACCGGGGCACGAACACGTGTCCCCTGCATCGGCAGGCGGGCTCTCAACCACTGCGCCACCAGGGAAGCCCAGTATAAGCGTTTTGCTTATTTAATTCAGAAAGGGGAAATGTCAGATCAATTCTGACCACCACAGGTCAGGAAGTTCAACCAAAAGAGTAGAAAGAGAAGTTTCAGCCAAGAAGACCTGTCAAAGCAATACTCCAGCATGACATGAAACTCACCTCCATGAGGGGGTACAGACAAAAACTACAAATAGGTTAAGAAGTTACCTACTAAATACTTGTCACAGTTCCCATATAATGGGTATTTAGTAGACATTTGCTGAATTAACAACTAAATGAATGAATGATGGATAGAAAAGATTCTGATAAGGAGCTAAATATTTGGAATGATTCTCAATCTTTTAAAGGAACATAACTAAGGATTACTATTCTGTTACAAAAACTTTCTTTTCAGTCTTGGTCAGTGACAGAAAACAAGACTGGGCAGACCACTGGTGTGACCTAATACAGCATTTCTTCTCATTTGTGTATCACTGCCTAGATTTCAACCATGGTATAAATTTTATCAGGTCTGTATATTAGGAAAAAGATATTTTGAAATCCATATTTTTTAAATGTTAGCTCTCCTTTAGAAACTTAGTTGTAACATTAATGTTCTAGTGTTGTTTCACATAATTGCTTATATAACACAAGGTGGCTAAGTTTCATTTCTTCGAATTTAATTGAAACCCAAAGGACAGTCTCTCTGTATCATACAGAAATATAGAACATTAATGAGTAAAGCATCTGATACTTACACTCCCTTTAGACTTTCTGGATCCTACAATAGGAGGTAGTGAAGAGGCTTTCTGACTGCGGAAACAAATTGCAATTTAGAAATCTGAGCATTATTCACAAATAATATATAAGGCAAGATAATGGTCATCTCAATTTGTCATCCTGACATGGAACTCAACTACTTACTGACATCAGTATTTCACAAAAAGTCCCATAGACTTTCCCAATTTCACAAAGACCACCATAACATTTCCAAATTCCATTCCAAAAGACCTTCAATGTTTTCTTGTATAGTATTTTTTTATATAATTTTTTTTTTAATTTATTTATTTTTGGCTGTGTTGGGTCTTCGTTGCTGCACACGGGCTTTCTCTAGTTACAGTGAGCAGGGGCTACTCTTCGTTGCTGTGCGCGGGCCTCTCATTGTGGTGGCTTCTCTTGTTGCGGAGCACCGGCTCTAGGCACGCAGGCTTCAGTAGTTGTGGCACGTGGGCTCAGTAATTGTGGCTCACGGGCTCTAGAGTGCAGACTCAGGAGTTGTGGTACATGGGCTTAGTTTCTCCAAGGCATGTGGGATCTTCCCAGACCAGGGCTCAAACCCGTGTCCCCTGTCTTGGCAGGTGGATTCTTAACCACTGCGCCACCAGGGAAGACCCTCTTGTATAGTATTTTAATTGAGGCTTACAAATAAATTTAGTACTGTCTTAAGTTTTTTCATAGCATTTTAAATCAGATCTCTAAATTTTCTATTTGCATTTCAAAAAATCATTTCCCAAGCCGAGTGATGATTTTGCCAGATGGCATTTAAAACTATAAATTTCCATAGTTTTTATCATGTCTATAATGTCTGCCTCTGATAGAAGCATAGAATAGTAAAACACTGGCATGTCTATTCAGGGAGTTTCTAAACCAGTCATTCTCACCAAAAAGTAAAAAATTATCTTCGGCTCTAAGAGTAAGTTATTTCCCAGATGTTTCTATTATAGGAAAAGATCCATCTTGAAACCCAACCCATCTTGAAACCTAACCCTCTCTGAAAATAAGGAGGCCACAGAGATAAAGGTAAATCTTACTAATCTGAGAAAGGCCACCATGAGCTAGTTTTCTCACTGCCATCAAGTACAAGCTCTTACTGCAGTGTGTACTGCAACGCCCAGCAGCCTAACCCAGTATTGTTTAGCAAAGGTTGTGAAGGATTTTATTTCATGGATGGGTAAGGATGGTTAGCAGTAAGTCTACTTGCATACTTCAAACACCATCCCTGAAATTCCATTTCATCTATTACTTATGAAACCCTTGGCTAGCCTCTCCATCAAGCTACACAGATTGCAAATTAATGGAGAACGAATTGGTGACATTCTGCTCTACCTCTGCCACAAATCACCCACCCTAGCAGAGGACAACTACAAAAGTCAGTTTTCTAGCAAAGTGGACACAGAAAAGCAGCAGAGATGGATTGCAGTGTACCATGAGCAAGCCAAACAGTCCCTGTATCCAGGGCTGGGGCTCTTCATGAAAATGCCTGCCTCGGGGTCCATCCACTGGGCTGAAATAAGGCATTCTTCACAAATATATGACATCTCATAGAGGAAAATGGTCCACTGTGCACTGTGTGTAGTTAATAGTGTAATCTTTAGAATTCTACATGTAATAATTACACACCCAGCCATTCTACTTATTTGTACAAAAGCAACTATATCATTTTTATATTTTACTGTTTTTATTTTTTAAAGTAGAAAATATTCATTTTTAATCACCTTTACAAGTTTCTCTACGCACCAACTGAAAAGTTATTCGGTCTAGCTAACCAGTTAAGATGCTATTAAAACTTCTAATAACGGATGCTGTTTAGAAGCTCACTGCCCTGTATCTTTTTCACAAAAATAAGTCTTTATTATAAATTCGTAAGTGAATGGTAAAAAAAATACTATATAGTCTATCATGTATTCCTCAAAATTATATTTTCATGCAATAGTTCTCAATCTCCAATCATGGCAAAATAAACACCGATCAATTTATTTCATACATGCTTTCCATTTTAACTGATAAACAGGATTCTATAAAATAGACCAGTGGTCAGCATAAGACTCAATGCTATTTCAAGTGATAATTAAAATGTGAGAAGTGAATGAGGATGCAAACTTACCCGTAAGACCTTCTCATCGTTGACTTGTCAAAAAGTAATTCACTGTAAGGCAATTTCTTAAACTTATCTCTGCCGACAGCCACGTAAAACTGCCCATTCTCCAACTCTGCCCCACTCTCAATCAGTTTTCCTTCTAAAGTATAAAGTCTGCCAAAATATGAATGCCAGCGATTAAAATTTTAACAAGCATTGCAAGAACTGCTTAAAATCACAGAGTCGATTAAAAACTCTGTTCTTAAGTTGGCTCATTCGTTACTATGCTAATTACTGAATTATAAATGCTTCAAAGTCATTAGACTCAGCTAAATGCCACTGCTATAACGCAGATGCAGTTACTCTCTAGCTGTACAGTGTTTCATCCCAAGAAACCTGACAATCTAACATAATGATCTCCTATTGCTGCCCTATTTAGATTTTAGAGGGAAAGAATTAACTCGTAGAGAACATTGTGCTTTAAATGAAGCTCAGCTTCCACTGAAGTTTGATTCTTCCACTTATATTCTGTGAGCACCTTTAAAATTCATTTTCTTAATGCATTGGTCCAGTTGACAAGCCACTTACTGCATTCCATGCAAGAGCAGCCCTCAGCCAAAATTTTACATCCAAGCACACAGAACTGGGTCAGAAAACAAGAGGTGAGAGGGCAGGAGGTAAAAGAACCCATTGCTAGTATTAATGATGCAGAACTGCATAGCGTTCATGCTTCCTTTCTTTTTTCTTTTGCCTTCCCTCATCTTCCCAGAATCAAGGGATTTCACAAGAACTTCCCTTTACTGTAAAACTGCTGCTGCAAACTACAATATGTTACTTATTAAAAGAACAGTGATAAATTTGCTAGACGATTTAAAGTGTCCACAGAACTTGTTTAAAGAACAAGAAAAAACAGTCTATTAGAAAACTACACCACATAGACAAGGCATGTTTTTGAAGGTGATAAACAAAAGAGTTAGTAACTGGAAGGGTTTTAAGATAATAACTTTTAAGATTCTCAGGCTTCTTATATTATATAATTAAGGGCAGTGATAGTTGCCATTGACCTGTCTACTTGTTTACTGATTATGTAAATGGCCATATCATATGGAGTCAAGAAGTAAAACAAAAACAGCCACCAAACCCCCTAAAATGTGTTAGTACTGAGTTAGTATAAAGATGTTAAAGTCTTTCTTTATAATGTAATTCTATACCTCAAAGTCTAAATACCAACACTTAACCCAGATATCTGGATTTCCTGCCTTGACCTACACCAGGGTTGCTGAACATTACTGACATTCTGGACCTGATAATTGTAGGAGAGGTGGGGAGGCTGTCCTGGGAATTGTAAGAAGTCAACAGCACCTTTGGCCTCTACCTACTAGATGGTAGATGGTAGCTGCCCCTATTCCCTATGACTCTGGACACTGCAAGCATCCCCTAGTGGCAAAATTGCCCTGGTTGAGAACAACTGGCCTAGATCCAGATATTCTTCTTTCATTTTCCTTCAAAATAGGAAGATGTGAATCAGTAGTTAACTTTTTTTTTTTTTTTGCGGTACGCGGGCCTCTCACTGTTGTGGCCTCTCCCTTTGCAGAGCACAGGCTCCGGACACGCAGGCTCAGCGGCCATGGCTCACGGCCCCAGCCGCTCCGCGGTATGTGGGATCTTCCTGGACGGGGGCACGAACCCGTGTCCCCTGAATCGGCAGGCGGACTCTCAACCACTGAGCCACCAGGGAAGCCCAGTAGTTAACTTTTATAGCTAGAAATTAAAAGGCAGCCACGCTGTGACTCTGGAAACAGCCAAAATTTGACTGGTTTCCTCACCAGGTAGGTAAAAGATACTGAATAAATTCTAGCCTGTAATTTTAGCCTTCTTTTATATGACTCTTGTTGACCTGCTTTCTTACTTTGCTACAAAACATAAGAATCATAAACAAGGAGTTGAACCAATTTGTGTGGATTGCTTTTGATATGTATACTGATGCAAAGGGAGGGTCCAACCCTTCCTGCTCGGTTCTGTTAAGGGAGGGTAGGCGTGTCCCAAGTGAGCAGCAACTAAACCTCATTCATGTCTGGCATTACAGTAAGAATTAAGCCTCTCCAAGTATTCAGGTGTTCAGGGGACATATAACTATATTCTCATTTCTGTATTTGTTCTGGAATATATTTTATTTCTATGTATCAATTTGTTCATATCAATATATGTATGAACAGGTGTATCTGGGCATGCAATTGTGTGCATGTATCTTTGTGTGCTTCATATTATTTATTGAGTGGGTTTACATCTATGTATGTGTCAAAAGACAAAACTATATATCTTTTAAAAAAAAATCAGTGTATAACTGTTGAGATCTGCCTTTACTCCTGATGCCAAAATGAAATCCAAAAGGGTCAAAGGTTTAAATGAAATTTAAAAGTTGAAAGACGGAAACATGGGAGAATATTTTTATAATCTCAGAGTGAAGAAGACCTAAGCTAATCATAGAACCTAATGATCATAATGAAAGATTGAAAATCTGACTGCATCAAAATTCATCATATCTGTGTGCAAAATGAAACATAAAGAGTTATAAAAATACAAGTTGGAAACATTTAAACATATTTAAACATGGAAACATATTTAAAACTCATATATGAGAAAGGGCTAATTTCTGTAATATATGAAGAGTCCCTAAAAATCAATAAAATAAATGTGCAAAGGCCATGAGAGATATATATTCAAATGCATATGTAATAAATATGTTCATTCATATATAATGGGAGATAAATGTATGGCATTTATTTACAGACTAGCTTGGTAGCTAACAGCACGGGCTCTGGAGCAGACTGCCTACTAGGTTTGAATTCCAGCCCTTCTACTCATTACCTGAATAATCTTGGGCAAGTAAATTTCCCCCTCTATGTCTCATGTTTCATGTCTATTAAAAGAGAATAATAGAGGGCTTCCCTGGTGGTGCAGTGCTTGAGAGTCCGCCTGCCGATGCAGGAGACGCGGGTTCGTGCCCCGTTTCGGGAAGATCCCACATGCCGCGGAGCGGCTGGGCCCGTGAGCCATGGCCACTGAGCCTGCGCGTCCGGAGCCTGTGCTCCGCAAATGGGAGAGGCCACGACAGTGAGAGGCCCGCATAACGCAAGAAAAAAAAAAAAAAAAAAAAAAAAAAAAAAAAAAAAAAAAAAAAGAGAATAATAGAACTAGTCACCTCATAGGGTTGATGAGTTAATTAAGTTAAAAATGTAAAACACTTGGAATAATGACTCACACACAAAAAATGATCAGTGATGTTGTTGTTGTAGTATATTATATAAATAAAATTCAAGAAACAATTAAATACTACTTTTACCAAGACAAAATGTTTGTTAGTTTTATACTATAGATGAGAGCATGAAAAACAGGCCCTCTCATGCACTTTTGGTAAATTAGTACAGACTCTTTGGAAGACAGTTGGCACTATCTATCAAAATTTAATAGCATTCACCACTTGATACAGCAAGTCAACTTCTACACTTTCATCTCTTAATAAACTCTGCTTAGATACAAAAAGATGTACTGTAATAGCAAAAGGTTGAAAATGACCGAAATTTCCATCAAGAGAGAAGACTGTTAAATAGATTAAGGTACACCCATAAAATGGAATATTTTGTAATCGTAAAACATAATAAGATAGACCTATTTGTGCTGATAAGAAAACTGTCCAAGACTTTTTGTTACAGGGAAAAAAGCAAGGTGTATTTACATATTTATTCATATGTGTGTGTGTTCCCATTTGTGTTTCTATGAATTCCAGTTTCCATCCTGCAATGATGCAGAAAAGTACTGGAAAGAAAGAATGGGGAACCTGAGGTGGGAGAAATAATTTTTATTTATATTTTTGTCCTATTTGAATTTTTTACCGCATGTGAAGTATTATACTTTCAATTAAAACAATTATATTTAAAACCACAATGGTTGTGAAACTATATATATTAATATATGTAAATATGCATACATTAATCTGTACCCACATTTAACTGAAAAACGTACAACCATCTGAGAGCTTATTTTACCCTGTATGTCTATAGTGTTCCCTACCAGTAGAGTATGTTAGAGAGACTGGGTGAGGATAATATTCAAGAATAACTACCAGAAAACTCTTCATTGGATTTCAAATATTTGTGTGTCACATATTATATATAATCTCTGTACATGTCTATATTATTTGTAACCTTCCCACCTATGAGATAATAAATAAGTGAGCCTCCATCAAGGTATAGTTTCATAGGCTTCACAACTCAAAAGCCATGATTTTAATCTTCACTTAAATATTAGAACTTGAGAAAAATGTTTTTGATTTCTCAAGTTTAGGCAACCCCACTTAATTATCTTCTCTAACTTGCCTCCTTCCTAAACCCACTAATACCTCCTGATGTCTGATTTTTTTACCTGAGGCAAATAATTTGGACCATCAGATAATTATAAATATCTCCTAAAGAAAAGGACAGTTATTTAAGAGTCAAGAAGCTGGCTCACTCAAAAAAACAAAAGTCCTTCTCAAATAAAACAATGCTGATGCTTGCCTATTCGCTGTAAATCAAAAGAAAAAAATAGTCAATATTTGTTGACGTGCTCTATGTGCCAAAGAATATAAACAGTTAATATCTGTTGAGAAGTTACTATGTGCCAAGTACTGTTCTAAGCTCTTTATACGGATTAACTCCTTCCTAAAACAACTCTACAAGGTATGAACAATTATATACCCATTTTACAGATAGAGAAACTGAGGCATATAGAGCCTAACTGGTGAGCTGAAATTCAAATCTAGGGACCAGTGACTCCAGAGCCTCTTGGGAATTTCCTCAGCAATTCTGAAACCCATCCACTTGCAAGATTACTTTGACATACCTGTGGACAGCCCCACTCCTCAGAGTTATTTTTTCCGTGATCATTTGTAGTACATGATCCCACTGATTCAAGGCTTTTCTAGGGATGAGGAGTCTAGAAGCTGGGTTTATAAGGTCTCCATTTGCAATCAAGCTGGAAAAAAAGCAAAGCCAGTGAGCCAAACTGTTTGACACAGTTATGCCTTTAAAACTACAAAATAAATCCCAACCCAAAAGGAAACCACCACATCAATTTTAACTCAAAATGTAAAGGGCTCCAACTTACAAGATAGCGCAGGGTTCCAGAAGCGGTTTTCTAAAGCGAGCTGACACATTGATCCTGCTGTGGATTACTGGTTTTACCTTCAAAAGCAAAGAAATACAAATCACTGAGCTTATGAAATACAAAGCACTGAGTGCTTTTTTTTTTCCCCCCTATGAGGAAAAATTACAGGTTTCCAGGGAACTGGCTGAGACCTGTGCTGCCTTTGTTAAAACCTTGCTTTTTTTCCACTTACATAAACACTCTGGGCTCACCCTCTATAGATGGCATGTTGCCTTAACAGAGCTCTCAAGAAAAATGTCACTTAAGCCCTGGGCATACTGCTCATGATCTGTGCCAACGACAGAAACTGTTGAGCTATTATGGGAATTTTAAGGCAACTTTTTTAAGCAATTACTTTCTGTAAAACAAAAATAAAATACTAAAATAAAATAATCCTATAAAATCTTGAACTCCCAAGTGTCCTCCCCCTCCAGCCACAACATAGTGTTCGGTCATCTCTCCTCACCCGCCTGCTGCCTAGAGTTTCTGGGTCCCCACCAGGCACTTGACTCCATCTTAGTTTCTTGAGACTGACTTCATCAACTTTTCTCAACTTCACTTCTTCCTCTATCCACCAGCCAGACTCTGACCACCACCCCCCATTCCCGAACCCCTTGCATCTGGGTAGGTCTGGTCATCTTTCCGGCTCCTTTTGCTTCCAGGGTCCAAGCTGTTGTACCGAGAACCACGTGGCCCCTGGGGCACCTTGGCCTGAGACAAGGTTTTGGCATCGGCCAACCCTGTCCTCCTCCCAAATCAACTACTTCTTACATTTCCCACAGTGAACTGTCCAAATCCCTACCTTTCATCCTAAATCCTAAAATCACACTCCAGGCACACTCACTCTCAGCACATCATTTCCCTCCAAACTTCAAGAAAATGAAGGCCAACAGGCATGAAGTCTTTCAACCTCCCTTCCCTCCATAACCCACTGCATCTACATCTTCACCACTTTTCTCCTTTGCTGCCTGTCTCAGGAGAAGGATCCTTATCCCTTTACAAAGCTAAGCCCCCATCTTGATTTTAACCCCTGCTGCCTCTACTTGTTCCATTAAATAGCTACGACCCTTCACCCCCATCTGGTGTCTTCAATTTCTCCCTTGACCCTTTGGCCCTTTCTCTCCTCTTCATCATTCCTCTTCCTAATTCCTCCCACCCTATCCTCTCCTCAGTGTTCTGCTATCTGGTTTCCACTGAAAGATATATCCCAACTCTTAAGCTTGCCCTACAAGGACCCCCATGACCAACCACTGCTTCCTTGGTTCCCTCATCTCCCACCAACACTCCTTCCTCCCCAGCCCCTAGTTGTGACTTTAGGTCAAACCAGCCTACCTTCCTCCATTAATCATCAAAACTATGCCCTGAATAAGTACTTACTATTTAACTCCATTTTACAAATGAAGAAACTGGAGCTTAATTAATTAATTTGCCTAAAATCACACATACTAAGGGGCAGGGTTGTCCACACAAGTGAACCACTATTTGCTTTGCACTTTGGTAGTTTTTTTAGAGATAAATATTAACCCTAAATAATTTATGGGACTCTCTCTTCAATCAAATTATACCATTTTGAGAAGAACAGGGGATAGAATTCTTCTTGACTCTCCAGTGCCTAAAACAACACTTTGGCAATGCCTGCTAGTTGAACAATAAATGTTTATTGAAATTTAATTAAAAGAGACTCTAATTTAGAGTAAAAAATTTTTAATCAATCACAATAATTTTTTTTTTTGCATTTTAAACCCAGAGATTCTTGGCCCTAAGCTAGTATTTGCAGTGATGTTGACTTTTTTAAAAAAAAAAGTTTAACAGATAATGTATGCACCTGACCAATATTCAAGTGGTAAAATGGGGCATACAGTGAAAAGGAAGAATCTTTCCCATTCCTGTCCCCCAACCACAAAGTTGCAACCAGAATTAGCAATATTCATTCAAAGGCAGCTTATACCTACATATACATATTGTCTTATGTGAACATTTTATACTTGTAATTTTTAAACATAGGGATAACTTGCTGTACCCATTCTTCTGCACCTTGCTTTTTTCATTTAACAATCACCATGGCAGTTGTTCCATACTGGTAGTTACAGTAAGGGTTGCTTCATTCTTTGTAATAGCTGTGTATATTCCACACCATGGATGTGCCGTAATTTATTTAACCTGTCCCTCAGTGACAATCCTGTTGGTTGTTTCTAAATTTTGCTGTTGCAAATAATGCCATGATAGAGTTCCTCGTAAATATTTATTTGCATAAATATGTAAGCATTTCTGTAGAATAAATTATTAGAATGGAGAATTTGCTGAAATAAAGAAGAGGCAGTTTCTTCAGTTTAATGGCATGTATTGCAAGCTTACTCTTGATTGATCCCAAGGGTCCTTTGATTTATTTAGTTCATACTATAGCATAAGAAAATAGATTCGATTTCCAAGGAATAAAGTTTTGTGGCCAGGGCTGTAGTTTACAGCACCTTGGATGACTACAAATCCCTCTCCCAGCAGATTTGCTTCTTCTTAAGGCTCAGCTTGTTGAACTGCAAATGAGCCTTTGCCTGTGTGAGGGACAGGCCTTTCTGATTCTGCATCTATGCTGATAGTATCTGCTTCGTGAAATCCTCCCCACCTCTTAATACTGACTCCTTGGCCACGGAACTTAAAGCTTCTGCCACATCCCTGGTTCTCTATTGCCCTTCCCTGCCTTTTTGCTTTTTTTAATAGCACTTACCATCACCTAACATATTGTACATTTTACTCATCTGGTTTTTAATTTATTGTCCCCACTGTTACTTTGTAGTTACCCTCAATATTAACTAGTAATGTACTGAGCACATACGTCATACCAAATGTTATTTTTTCAAATGTCTTTCCTTCCAACCTTGATTGCTTAATATGCTGTTAGATTGTTGAATTAAAGATGAAGGTGAATACATTAGATAAACAAATAACTTGGAAACTCCTGTTGAGCTGCCTGATATATGCCATTTTTCTTTAGCACATACATGTCTATAATACAGAAATTCACAAATAGATGATTTTTTAAATAATTATATAACTTTATTCTGAGTCTGTAAGTTGTTGCTTGAATTAAATTAAACCATCTGTCTTGAATAAGTTGTTTTCCTCACTCAGTATGACAAAAATACTCTCCAAATGTTCATGATTAACCAGCTGAATTGAAGATTAATCCTAAATATATATTTCTTTGAGTCATTTTAGTTAAAATAACTAAATCAGTCTGTTTCCAGATATACTAATAAAAGAATTTGAAAAAATAATCCAAGTAATATGTTTGAATTGAAAAAAAAAAAGTAAGACCATTGTATAAAACGGTTAGGACTTTTGAGGGGGAAAAATACCATTTTTCATTAAAAATGCATTTTTCCAATTGGCATTTTTTTTTTATAAATCTATTTTTGGCTGCATTGGGTCTTCGTTGTGGTGCATGGACTTCTCATTGCAGTGGCTTCTCTCGTTGTGGAGCACGGGCTCTAGGTGCACGGGCTTCAGTAGTTGTGGAACACAGGCTCAGTAGTTGTGCCTGTGGGCTCTAGAGCGCAGGCTCAGTAGTTGTGGTGCACGGGCTTAGCTGCTCCGCAGCATGTGGGATCTTCCCGGACCAGGGCTCGAACCCGTGTCCCCTGCATTGGCAGGCGCATTCTCAACCACTGTGCCACCAGGGAAGCCCTCTAATTGGCATTTTTAATAATAACTTAAATCACAAAAGAATTAAACAAATCAACTACAGATAAGGGTAGCTTTCCCAGAGCCCTTATCAGAGATTAAGTGTTTGTTGGTCACTTGGTCACTTGGTGCTAATCTAGAGACACTGTGGCTTTGATATGGGAAACATAATAATCAATTAGAAGATATTTTTAAAACACGTACATTTTCTTATTAGGCTGTACACTTTCCCTTGCCCTTTGAAAATAAATAATGTTTGAAATATGAGAATAATGTTAAGTATCAACACACCTGGTTATGGAGGGATGGACCCCAAAGGATTGAGTATGAGGTACTCCCACTCAGATCCCTGTGTACCAGGAATGTCTTGCTGGTGAGCATCCTGACCAGTGTTAGGTGTAATCTGTGACTATGGAACCAAATCAACTGAAAAGGCATCAATGCAAAACTCGAACATTCACTGTGGACTCAGCAGAGATCATACTCCTGGTTGGCTTTGTCACCACCAGGCAAAAGCAGAACATGCTTACAGCTGACCTCTTACCTCGATTCTGCACTGGGTTCAGCATTGTCTTGGAAAACCCAGTTTATTTGGATATTGAGAAGTAGGTTAGCCTGGTGAATCAGAGAGGAGTCACTCCCTGAGTAGAAATTAGACAGCTGGATGGATAGATAGATTAAATATTTGGCTAACATTTTTCTCGGAAATATTTCAAAGTCAAAGAGGGCAAAAGTGACTTAAGCATGTTCACTCTGCTAGAATAGGATGAGCCAGGTCTTTGAATATAAATCACATGCACCTTTCAATATATCACTCTGCCTCTGGTATCTTATTTAGATTGTGTTTATGTCACAGATGGCTATACCAAAAAACAAACAAAACCCAACAACAAACAAAAAAACATTATGTGAATTTGACAAGTCTAAGTATATAATTTAACTCAAGTTCACAAATTCCACGTGACACTTGGACAATATCACAGCTGGGTCAAATTCAAGGTAAAACCTGCATGACTTAAAAACATGAATTTTTATTAAAAAAAATAAACTCAATGAAACTAAAATTGTTGTTGTGAAAATACATATTTGGATTAATAAGAACAAGATCTACAAACTGAGGAACTGACTAAAGGTCTGAAATTCTGAACTCCAGGACTGATGGCCAATTCAACACCTCACACCTCATTTTCTTGCTCTGTAAAACTAGGGATAATCCTGCTAAACTAGCCCAAAGGGATGCTCCATGAACTAATTAATGAAGTGGCAATACCATTCCCTGGGGCTGCTAGGCTGAATGCTTCAGGTCTACCTGCCTCAAATCTCAGCACTTACCACCTCTTGAAACCCTAGGCCAAGTAAA